GTATGCATATGTATATGTATACATATTTATAATATATATAATATTATATATTGTATATGTATATAACTAATAATAATTATACATTATATACCAGTATGTACAATATATAACTAATAATTATATATACCAGTATATGTGTTTGTGTGTGTATATAATTTTAAAAAATTGAACTAAAAAATGAGTATACACACACACATACACACACACACACACACACACACACACACACACACACACACACACACACACACAAATATACATATACACATTTTTTTTTTTACAGCTCTATTCCTCTACTAAACAATAGAATTTTAATATCTCTCTTTTTTTACATTTTTATTAAAAAAATCTTCACATAATATTCTATTAAGAAAAAAAGTAACGATTCGTTATATTTTGAGTAATTGTAATGATAATGAGTAGCGGGAACGAGTTATTTTTTAGGAAAAAGAACGGTAATGGTAACGAATTATTTTTATAAAGTAATGTTGCCAACCCTGCATAATTCCAATCGCATCATATCGTATGCAAAATAACGATAAAAATAATTGTGAAATTACCGTTATCGAAAAAATGTAATTATTTTACCGTTACAATTATCAAAAAGAAAAAGTAACCAGTAGCAGTTACGAGTAAAGTTATCGAAAATGTAACTTGTAACTGTAACTTCGTTACAAGTAACGAAGTATTTCCATTCTCTGGTTCTATTGGAGAAAGGAAAGAGATTTCGTTAATACTAACCACAATAAGTTTGAAATTTGTATATAAAATTTCCTAAGCCAAATTTGTGCAAAATTCTATTACAGTGACTTACATAAATATATTTTAATTAAATATTTTTAGAATTAAATTTTTAATGTAGAAGATAATTAGCATCTCAAAAGTAATAAACAAAAATGAACAATATTTGAGTAATATTAATAAAGACTGAAATTAAAAAATTCTATTATATTTTTATCGCAACTTAGTGCAATAATAACTAAAAGTAATGTATTATTATTATTAATATACATTATTATATACTTTTTGAGCAGCTGTACAAACCTGTAAGCATGACTCAGATGACTATTCGTCTTGCTTGCGACTTGCGGTACAAGAAGCATGGCCAAATTTCGTCCCAGGTATTAAAAATAAAGCACTGATAATATTTCTCTTTGATTTACTCGAAATTATCAAGTTTATATTATATTTATTATTATTTAAATGATGTTACGCATAAACACAGATAGATTCGTTATTATTTAATTTATGTCACGTTAAATACATCATATCCTTGCACAAGTTTTAATTTTTTCCGAAAGGTATTCCGAAACTCGATTTGCCAGTTTTGGATCCGTACTTTACCGACAACGAGAAAACCGTGTATGAAACTGACAACATGCGCGCGGATATAACAGTCATAAATGTTAACACCTATGGACTTGCGAAGGCTCAGTTCTTGGCCGTGAGACCACATCATTCTGATAATTACTTTAAATTAGAGTTTGATGTCGATTTGCCAAAGGTACTCATCGAGGGAAATTACAAGGCAGATGGATCCCTGGGAACTTTCCAAATTGGTGGTGAAGGTATATAAATTAATTACGTTTAACATTAAAAATATTTTAAATTTATATACGAATATCACAAAATTTATTTTAAATGGTATCAATTTTTATTGGACCGCTAAATTTCAAACTGAATGAGACAATGCTACAGCAGTCTAAGTTAGATCACGGGTGCTTCTAAATAAGTACGTGTGAATTTATCACGAGTTAAATTGATTTATTTTAAATGTATTGAAAATATAAAAAATGATATATAAATAAATATTAAAATGATTTGATGGGCAACGAGCCGAAATTATACTAAAAAGATAATGATTCATGTTAAATTTTCGTTAATATTCTAATTATATGTTAAATTTCCATTTATATTTTAATAATTTATCGGTGTCGAAATGTTTGATGTTTTTAATTTAAATGTATCTTGTTTGTTTCTCTTCTTAATTGTAATATTTTTATTTCGGCTTGTTGCCCGTCATCATTTTAAATCATTTTAAACTAATAATAATCATAATTAATACGTTGAGAATGGCGAATAAGAGTCAATCTAAATCTGATAATATATTCTAATATTCTATATTGCGAAGAATATCACGTAATGTTTGGAGTTTCGTCCCGGCTTCCACTACTGGACTCATCAGTAAGGTATTGTAGTGGAAGCCTACCTTAGACGCCGGTGTAAGTTATTAAATCGAGATTCTATATAAAGAGATATACGCGTGTCTCAGCACTTGCGAGAATTTGCGAATATCGATAGACCTCTGATGGCGGGTCGACGTAGTAATATTCTTCGCAATATTTATCCAAAGTGAGAAATAACGTTCTAATTATATATAGTCCCCCCAAATAATCTGATTTTTAAATGTCCCCTCTTCTTAATTGTTGCGCGCCGAAAGATTTTTCGGTCTTGCAACGCAACTCTAATAATCTGAAATATCCCCCCTCCTAAATATTTGCGCGCCGATGGATTTTCGGTCTTGAAACGCAATTAATCTAGAAACTGTAAATTTTTACTTAATGAACAGAATTGCAATGTATTATCCGCGTTATTACAACCAGCGGTTTTTGAAAACAAATAATTGAAGAAATAAAGGACTCTTTTTATAAACAATAATTAATACGTTGAGAATGGCGAATAAGAGTCAATCTAAATCTGATAATATATTCTAATATTCTATATTGCGAAGAATATCACGTAATGTTTGGAGTTTCGAATAATAATCATTTTAATATTTACTTATTATTGTCGAGCCTTCTTCTAATAATATCATATAAGCTTTACTCTAAACATTGAAAATAACACAAGGGCTCATTATTATTTAATTCTCCACCTTTGTATTTCTCTATCATTTAGTAATAGACAATTTTATGAATCACAGTAGAGTTGAATTATTTATTTAGTTTAAACCTTATAATAATAAAATCAATTAAGACACCTTACAATTCAAAAACAAATTGGAGAGAATAATGGACAATAGGAGTTAGGAGCAGAAGACATCAAGAGCGTTATTATTATAATGAAAAAGCGTTATTCGAATAAATGGTTTTTGTCACTTATTAGTGATATTTTTAATTGTGCGACGTCTTCTGCGCCCGACTTCCGAATTTGTCTTTTTAATTAATTTTATTTATGAAAAACATATATATTTTTTTATTTTGACTTTATGAAATATATTTTCCAAATTTATTAAATTTAGATTTTATAAACATCATATTAAGATATTTTTATTAATGAAATTTAATTACTTTACGTAAAAGATGTGTAATATATCTGATTTTCTATTGCGGCAGGATTCTTTAACATTAGCATGGAAGACATTAAAGCCACGTGGATAATGGAAGGACCCGTTGCTAACGATAGATGGACGCTCGAACATTTCCATTTAAATCCGGAAGTCGGAAAGATGCAAATTTGGTTCAGTGATATGTTCAACGGTAACGAGGAACTCAGTAAGTAGACTATTTCTTCAACATATTCTTTAGCTGAAAACTGATTTATATTTATATGACTTTCACATTTTCATGAATAGAAATTGATTCTTATTGGTAAGTTACGAGTTATGCCAAAAAAGAGACACTAGACGCAACTGTTTTTTCATTCTTATTGGTATAATTGCCTGTTTCATTATCTCTAATTGTGTTGTTATATCACTTCAGCAATTCGCTGATAATTGCTCGATGAGATTATGAGAAACTCTGATGCTGTAATCCATCGTTACATAATGATTACGAATTCAATTAATTTACTTTTTTTTACATGTCGACATATTTCATGGTGTAATCGTCACATAAGTCATTACGTATTTTCACTTACAGACAATGCTGCCATGAAATTCGTGAACGAATATTGGCCGACCTTGTATCGTACGATGCTGCCGTTCCTCGCGAAGAACTGGGATGAACGTCTTACTGAGCTCAGCAACCGCATATTCTCAAAGATATCTTTCTCGAAGACGTTCCCTTGAAGCCCTTAAGGATGTTTTTCTTGCTAGGACACGTACATAGTGTAGTATGTATGAACGAAGGAGCGCCGAATTTGGAGTCCTAAATATTTCACAGATCGTTCAAAACCGGCGCAGAGGAAAGTAAAATTTCTCTATATGAAGTCTGTGAACATCCCGAAGTGACAAGTTTCTTTTCTCTTCATCGTGCGTACTCCTGATAGTGTTATTTAGATTTGCACGACGTCGACATGCGTGTGAATAGTGCGACAATGGCGAGTTTATTGTATAATTATGTAACGTGTATAAACATAGATTATTCTTAGCATTGTTACTATTATTGTGTTACTGCTATTTTCATTAGCGATTGTTTATGTAAAGCACAGACGTAATAAATATCAAAGATAATATAAAGAATACCAAATGCATATAAATTTAATGATTTTTCCGATAACTGACAGTTTTCTTGAAAATTTTTCCTAAATTATTGTTGATCTGTTGTGTTCAATCAACTTGTTAATATTACGCAAAATGTAGTAGATAATAATTTATGTATAAAATTAATGAATGTAAATGAACTAAAATAATTAATTTTTATCATATATATTTATATAATAATAGATACATTTGTTTTACTCCATCAATATATACCATTATTTCCATTGTGCGCTAAAACTATAATACCACATTTAAAACTTAATATAATAACGGTTTATATACTTCTGTTTTAATATAAGCAACAATTACTATCAACATATAATATATTTTTTTCTAGAACAATATCAACGAGGAATATCTATCTTTGAATGTAATTGTATGTTTTCTTTAAACTATTTGTTTATTCCCTAATTAATAAATCACACAATTAATATTTTGTTTTCATGTGTAAACGAACAAAGCAACTTAAGTACGTGTATTATACGTACTGTGTTTTCCTCTTTTTAATTTTAATTAAAAAATTGCTTGATAAGTTGCCTTTTTTACGCTAAAATGCATTATTTAGTACTTGTGCAAATGTAAAATATATCATTGATTTTTCAATAACAAAAAGCTAATATAGTAACTAATGAAGATAAAATGGAAATAATACCCTAAGGTATAAGGAACGATTCCACTGGTACATGTCGCAGCAGCTGATTAACAATGCCGGCAAAAAGTGCCGATAACTTCTTTTTTAGTTGCGGTTCCATCAATTTCAACACTTCTTGCCCATTTTCTCGAAGGAAGAGATTAATTGCCTCGGCTAAAAATTAAAAAGTAATACAATAATGAAAATTACTTGTAAAAGGTAACGACTTTAACTACAATAAATATTTTAGAGAGTAATATATTCTTATATTATTAGATTAATTAAGTTGTGCAATTTGTTTACTGAGTATTCGATTGTTGTTGAAGATCTTGCTGACTCGCATCTGCAAATTCTTCACTGCGAGTACAACATCAAGATTATCGACATTTAAATACGTTTTGTTCTCTCGCGACTTTGTCGAGATTGTCCCTCTGACTAGTACTCTAGCATCTCCAAAACGCGCGTGGAATGTACCGTTTCCACTTGCAGGCAAAATTATTAATACACCGGAACTGTAAAAATTAAATGTTAAATAAAAATTCCATCGTTTACATGTAAAAGAATAAAATTATTAAACTAAATATCTTTTACAACTTATATATATATATATATATGTATATATTATCGAACTACATTTTTACACCTCATATTCTTATAAAATAGAATAATATATTATATACTTTTCCAAAATGAATATAATATTTCTTTATGTACACTAGATCACATAAAAAAATAGATAAATATAGAATTACCTAGAATAATGCGCATCTAATATAAGGGCTGGCATTCGAACAATGGCTTGGAAGGGTGAACCTAACTTGATATCTTCCACCGTATAGTTACTCGCTCCCCTTATAAAAAGATCTCGTAGCTGAATCTTATAACCATTCGTACCACCTGTCAGGGAGAGTGTCAGTTCATCCATCTATTGAAATTGACAGAATATATAAAATGAATATGTAAAATGGTAAATGTAAAAGGGCATAAATAAAAAAGAATCCTCCATTTATATATCTATTTTATATAATATTATATGTTTTTACAGGACTGGAGTCAAAAGTAATATAAGTTGTAACACCAACATAAAAAATGTTATAAATAAAATATACAATTGTAAGAAAGAGATAGAAGTTTGTAATGTAAATGTTAATAATTATAAATTTTTATCCCTTTGTTACTCTTTTGCATTTTGTTTATAACGTGTTTTTATGTAGGTCTTACAATTTACCTGTATTACTTTGACCCTACACATATTAAATTTTCAACGTATTAGATTTTAAGTTCTAGTATATTAGAACATGCGAGATTGGCGGATGCTTGTCAAAGTGTAAAAGGATGTTACAAGTTCATAATTTTTATTAATTATCACAACTATTAATTGTTTTTTTTTAATTTAACAAATTTTAAAACTTGTGAAGTAATCAATTATGTATATATATATATTTATTATTAATAAAAACAAATAAGCAAAAGTAATTAAGAAATAAAGACACACAAATACACACAACATAGCTACTTTTCTTATGTTACGAGCATGAACATTTTTTATTTGTAATGTTTCTTCTTCAAAGTCTATATAAATCATAATTAAATACAACGTGACTCTCTTTATATCATATTATTTATATTATATTCAATTTAGGATAGATTAAACTTACACGGAACGGTTCTACTGAAGGTAACTCAATTTCAGAGATTCCGACTTTCAGATAAGGTCGTAGATGATGTAGAGCGTTGATCAGACAAGTTATCAGCTTCGGATCGCTTTTGGAACATTGTTTCACATATTCGGCTACGAATAGAATGTTGTTATACATATATCGTCTATATATTACTTTAAGGTATATATTGTTCAGTTATGTATATTTTATTGTTCCGAAGGAGTAATAATTCTATTCTTTAAATTTTATTTCTTTTTTGTGTTCTTAATATAACAGGAGAAATTTGATGTTCCAAGATGTATAAGTAAAAGCGTCAATGAGTAAAAAGCGTGTTAATCTCTAGTCGTGTTAAAAGTGAAAGTTCTATCTCATGACGAAAATGCACCTTCAATAATAAGCGAATTGGTACATAGCTGCAAGAGGTTATTTATGTTAAGAGTTCTTTTTCTAACGTTTTTTTTCTAATGCTTACAAAATCATGTTAGAATATGATTAGTGCGACATATAACGAATACATTGCATAATTAGAACAGTACACATATACAGGTATATTCTATTTGAATTTGTATTTTTTGGGGGGAGTGCTGTATTCTTGATAATACATAAATCTGCAAATAAATATTTGGTAGTAATTTTAAATGTATTGAATTCTTTTTTTAAATAAATTACAGAATTGTTAAATTTAAATAAAATGACAGAAGTCTATTACGTCTATGTTGTACGTTTGCGAACATTGAAACATATTCGATTACAACATAGTGTGTCTGCGGAAATGGAGATCCGGCTTTTGCGACAGTGCAGTGCCATTGCATGCAGAAAATTACACGTAACTTGAATTAGAAAATTTACCATTATTACAGAAAAGTATTTTAGTAGATAAAACAATTACATGTTTTTATAATTTTTTTAAATTGTACATTGTCTTATATTTTGTATTTTTTATAGATATATGTTACATCTACTCCAATTATTTCTAAAAATAAAGTGACTCAATCAAATTTTTTAGTAGCAATTAATTATACATTATTATATGCCCCTTCTTACTTATTATAATTAAACTAATTTTATTTGTTTATTTCAATTTTTAAATATGTTTATAACTGTTTGAATATTCAACGGTGAAGATATTGAAGATACTAACGTTAAATTTACGGAATATATTTTGATTACTCACGGCTTGTATCGGAGGAGAGAGTTGCCGTACAGCCGACGACGAGGAGAAGGATGTGCCACAGCCTCTTGTTCATAATTTTTTAAGGCAATCGCGACGAAGACGAAAGTTTCACGAAAGTTTCAATTACAAGGACTTGTTTGTATTAACCTTTACGGCTGCAATCTTTCGTTGATTTTAGACACTAAGATCTTATTGCAATCGAAGATCACTCGCTACGACGATGAATTCGACTGAAGACTCGAATCGCGCGATAAACGGCGCCGTTAGAATAAGACTGACTATGCAAGAGAGGGCATTGACAGACAGCAGATCGTAGCTGCACTCGCGGATACTTTCACTGCTGTAACAGCTGTATGCACCTGCGCCTTCTTCGTCGTCTGCAACAGCAGACGAGTCCATTGTGGAGACGAAAGTATCTTACCTAGAAAATATGTTGTCTATGCTGTGTCTCTTGAGTATAAATCATAGATTACTGCACATAGTAATAAGACATTTTTAATGTCTGGCAATTTGATCATGACGAAAGTAACTATTGTACTCGATAAATCGACGATAATAAATTAAAAAAAGGTAGATTTTTTAAAATAAAAATATAACAATCGCTATATTTAATGAAGGCGAGACTCGAGAGACTTTTCAACATAAAAAAAATGGTTACTTTATTGCGATTCTTTTATGATAAATAATTTCTCTAATGAATATTTTATTTCTAATGAATAAGTGATCACTGGTTTGTTAAAACAGTAAATCGTGAAGTAAGACAATAATCTTATGTGAAATGTAAACATTAACAATAAGTCCGTGTTGATAAAGTGTAATTGTGAACACAACGCAGAGCCTATTCTGTATGACGTAAAACAAGTCATTTGTATTCGACTGCAATTAAACCGTTCCATTATGCAATGAGATTTCGGTAGAACATGCATTTCATGATTTACTATTCATCATTATAGACATTTAGAATGTACAAAAATATTCTTTAATAATATTAGACAACACATATATTAAAAAAAATTAATTTTTGTATAATTCCCGGTTCATTAAAAACTTCTAGCATTAAAACGTACGATACTAAGATAAATTTTAAAGAAAAAATTCCAAAGAAGTTAAATTAAAAAGGAAATTGTTTGTTTTTTTAATATTTATATTATTAAATTTTTTTGCTTATCAAATTCACTTAAGAGTTAATTTAATAGTTAAATAATAAAAATTTATTAAAATTTTCATGATTTTGTATATGCAAAAATTTATTTATTAATATTAATATTATTAATATTTAATATAGTATTTGTGCAGTTGTGTTTTAATACTTTTAATGGTATTTAATATGCGTTATAAGTTATAACGGAAACTATTAGTATAAACTTACTTTTTAAAAAAAATAATAGTTTTAATTCTTCTTCAAAGGTTTTTCTTACTGAAAGTCTTCTTATTTCAACCCAAGTAATAACAATTTTAATTCTCAGGCAGAAAATATTCCTCGAAAAAGAATTATTATCCCAAGGTAAAAATTAAAACCTAAATGCTACAGTCTTTTTTAACTAATAAAGTTTACTTCTATCAAATTAAAAAGTAAAACCTAAACGATACTATCTTAGTTATTTAATTAACTCTAATGATACGTATCATTCGTATAAAAGATTTGATATTAACAACTGGTGCCAAGTTAAATCCCATACCAATTTAAATAAAAAATACGATCAAGTGTTATTATCTTTAATTTTTATAGACTGAAACTTAAGTTATATCTTTGCATTCCTATTAAAGGATCTTCCTATTCCGATCCAAATGACTTTAATTCTTTTTATATAAAATTTTCATATTGCAATTCATTCAAAGACATTTTCTCTTTCAACCAAAGAGTTTTGTTGTAATAGTTATTTTATTCTCCTTCAAAACATTATTCAAAATCAATGAGAACATGCCGTAACGATCAAGCTACATCTCGGGTGCTTCTATATAATTGCGTATGTGTGAATTTATATATGTATAACGTACGTAGATTTTTAATTACGCGCTTATTTAATTTGATTTAACAATTTTGATGCTCTTTGATTTAATTTGATTTAACAATTTTTTATGCTCTTTGCGCATCTTAGATCGATCTTAATAATTGAAAGATTTTGATAGTTAAAAGACATATTAAAATCTGTAAATAATGTAATTTTTGTAACAAAAAATATTACCTTGACTTAAGATTACCCTTGCATTTTCGCACGAATTTAACTCGTGATATTACTGCGATAGTTTAGTAGAGCTTGCGATTCAAATTCAAATTCCGAAAAAAATTCGGAAGCAATTAAAAATCTATATATGTAATATATATAAATTTACACGCAAGTATATAGAAGTATCCGATATCCAGCTTGACCGTTACGGCATGTTCTTATCGATTTTCATTGATTTAAATTCACATGATTATTACATAAGAATTGATATTGATTATTCAAAACATTATCACAAAATTACGTTACCACATGTTCATTTAAGAGTTACCACAAAAAATTAAAGAAGTAAACACTTGGCGTAAATAGATCCAATAAGGAAAACTATAAAAACATGAATGCTAATTTCATATGTATCACATATGGTACATTGAAATAGAAACTTATCCAAATGCGAAAACCTTTATTCTAGAATTCGTATAGTTAACTTGGGTCACAATCATCATGAACACAAAACGAAACCTAAATAGATAACATATTATATTAGGAGTACAAATTAGTTTGGTCCGTTTTCCAAAATAAGATCGCCTCCAAAAACGAGTCATTTCGAGATGGAATTCGAAAATTGCCTGAGAGATGGGAAAAAGTAGTAGCCAGCGATGGACAATATTTTAATTAATCTGTTCATTCATTTCGTTTTAAAATAAATGCATTCTTGAACACAAAAAACGGACCGAACTAATTTGTACATCTAATACATTACTGGACTCAATATCACGCAGGCAGATTTATATCAGCATCGAACAAAAGAATTATTCGTTTTTCTCATATTCAATCGTCAGTATGTAGTGTATTACTGTATTACATGATATATTATTAATCTAATACATATTTCCACACATTATATTTGTGTGTTATTAACGTGTTGATCATTATGTCCATGCTGAGATTCAATGAAGCGCTTTAAGGAAAAAATGATGAGAAAAATAATCGAAATCTAAATAACTTCATACATCATTAAGTACAATTTATATTTCTTTATATATTTTTTTACATGACAAGTAGCAAAGTAATAAAAAACGGACGTTAATTATACAGAATTAAATTACTCGCATACAGTACTTTCATATACGCATAAATACATTCAAGATTATTTTAAGTTCGATTTTAAGATATATATACATATATAATAAGATTAATTCGTTAGTTGAATATAATAATAATTAAGATTCTAATTCAAACATTTTAATACAATATAATAATTTAATACAATATCGACCTGAAAAAGCTGCAGATCGTATGAAATTTTCAAATCTAATTTCTTATATGTTGCGTACATTGAAATCGAAATTTATCGAAGTGCGAAAATGTTTATTCGAGAACTTGTATCGATAATCACGGTCATCATAAACACAAGCCCTAAGCAAATTATATAAAATGTATATACTCAACTCAATGTCACGCAGGCAGACTTATATCGACTCTGAAGGAAACAGTTATTCGCTTTTTCTTCGCATTCAATTATCAGTACACATCTGTTGCGTATTACACAATATTATATCTATCATTATCATGTCTACTTTGCTGACGTTTGGTGATGATTTTGGAAATGAAGAGAGTGGAAGCTTAAATAAGTATAAACATCGGTAAGTTTCTCTTTTTTTATATATTTTTAAAATATACATAACCGAGTAAATAGAAAATATTAATAGACGAACATTAATAATCCAAACTTAAATTGCACGCGTTTTGTGACTACACTTAAAGATTTCATTGCAGCAACTTATTTATTTCGTACTTATTTACATCTGTATAATTTTATATATATTTGTATATGTAATTATATAATGTGTACAAACACACACACACACACACACACACACACACACACACACACACACACACATACATAAATCTGCAGAGTAATTTTAGGACGATTTTAAGGTGTAAGACAATTTCATTAGCTGTATGTAATCTTAATAACAATTAAGATTTGATATAATACATTTTAAAATAAAATGGACATGTTAAAGCTGCAAATTGTATGAAATCTTTTGCTTTATTGTGCATGTATTATGTATTTCTTTTGTTGTAAGAACAAAGTAATTTCTTTTTTTTTTCATATTCTGAAAGTTTTTTCACAGTGCGAAAATAGACACTTCATGTCATTAATAGATTACGTTCGTAGATATCCTCTGTTATAATGTTTAATTTCCTAAGAAATAAATTGATATTATTTGTCACCATCACCTCATAATGATGGCAATGATGTCAGTTTATGTTTTGGATAATCCATGTTGTTCACGAATGATAAGCAAGGATATGATGCGGAAGTTAGAGATCACTTCCAGAGGGGGGGGGGAGGGCCCACATTCGAAAAGCTAGAAACGAATAGCTGTGCCTAGCCTTCAATTGTGAAAGATAGATTTTACGACATATTTTAATTATAATGTGTTTTATTATTATTTTCAATATTTTTAACTTAATCTTGTCTTGTTTATGACTGATGTGTATTGTGAGTTATTATTTTCAATAAATTTTTTATAAAAGTACTTCGCGAAATGTTCCTTTTGTAATTAGAAGTCCCGCACAATTATTTGCCCTTGGCTTTCTAATCTGACCGCTGGAAGTGATCGCTAGTTCCCGCGAAATAGAAAGAATAATGTACTTATAGATCTAGAAGAATAAAGACTTCATATCAGCTAAGAAACATTCCAACTGTTGCAAAATAGACATTTTGCTTTATACGGTCATTGCGACTGATAAAATTGCCTCAGAAAATAAATTTAGAAATTTCCTGAGTTTCCCAGATCTTCCAAATGGTAATGGAAATTGTTTTATTGATAAATACCAAATTAAAATTTAATACTAAAGTGAATTTTAACATTTATAAGCAGGCATCGGTAAAATATTCTCCTAGAGTATTATTAAAAACAACAAACACCTAGAATTAAAAATTTAGATAGTAGCTTAATAAATATAAGCAGTCAACAGAAGGAACAAACGCACCACATAGGACGTCAAGCAAAAGTCATATATTTAAATTTCTGATGTTAACAATATAAGTAATTAGTCATAAAATAAAATAAATTCTTAACACAGTAAATTGATGGTAATTCCGTCTTCAATTATAATTCACGTATTAATTCTTATAATACAAATTCAGACCAATAAAACATAAATAAATATTGAAGAAAAAAAATGTAATTATAATGGAAAAATATAATTCAATAAAAATACTATTGTAAATGTAATACAGTCTGTCTAGTAAGAGCGTGACAAGCCTATCTCAAAGAAAAATGGCTTATTAGCCTTAAATTAGTATTGATTGTATTTAGTAGGATCATGGCCAAAATGCAATTATATTAATAAAGAGTCCGGTCACCAACTGCGTCTATAATAGACTGGCACTTCCGAGGCATACTTTCCACTAATATTGCTTAAACTGCTTAAAAAGATTTGAATTTAGAATGAGAAGTGTGTATATATATATATTTTTTTTTAAAGGGAAGTATTTGAAAAAAGTGTTTAAAATTAAAAATATAATTTTTTGTAATAACAGCTTATTACTTGCTTACTTCGATTCCATCACTGTAATACTTCCATTTCCTCTCATATTGTATTATTCGGAATTTCATTTATTTCATTCCTTAAATATGAAACAGTTATTTATATCGAATGCGAATTTTCAATTGAACATTTTCTCTAATAACGTTTATAACAGAACTTTTTGTAAACCAATTTTGGAAATGTTTGTCGACTGATTTTAAAATTATTTATTTAAATAATTTAATTAATATTAATTTTATTCAACATCGACGGTCTTACACAAATCTTAATTAATTTTATTCATTAATTTGTTTATTATTTGAAATGTTTGAAAAATACATACTTTTTTACTGATATAAATGATATTTGCTGATAATCGAATTTGCAATTACGACATTACTTCTCGTCAATTAAAT